AACGTTACGACGTCCATCAGAGCCTACAAGGATCATTCGGCTTTCATCGCTTAAGAGAACTGTCTCTCATTGACCAAGATTCCATTGCACGTGTTGCCTAGCAAATTCTAACCTTGCTTGCCGATGAGATGTAGTGAGTTTAGGTTCCGTCACTGACTTGTGTGGTAATAAATTATTTATTATAACGGATTTCCGCAAAGTAACGCCTGATTCTATCAATTATCAAGGCTTGTGTGGTGTCAGGTTTTGCTCTCGAAGTCTTCTTCTCACCATATTCTCACTTACAGACAATCCACGAGTTTTCCTCAGCCTACCCTGAACATTAACAGCAGAAAGATGCCGATTTCGCAAAGAAGGCAAGGCAATAAAACGGTCACCCGTCGGGTTTGTGAGACGTCCTCTTCCAGACCCTGGTCTTCGGAGGTACTCTCCCGTCTCTAAGTGTTGTTTATAAACTCTACGTACTGTGCTGATGGACTTAAAAATCTCCTTGCCACATTTCGCTGACTTGCCCTTCACTAACGAGAGCTACCACTTGAGCGGCTTCTGCTTCAGTGGTATCCATGTATTTATGGTTAAAAGTAACGATATGTCTGCTCCAACAAAGAATTAAAAGATTAAGTCACTACGATACACAGTACCAAGAATATTACGCGCCAAAAGTCCGAAATAAACTAACCTTGCACTCAATGCACATTTCGACAATTTTATCAGTTTAAAATGTTACAAATACCCACAATAACACCTGTATTCCTCTAGAGCAATGTCAAGTGGGTACTCGGATGTTAATTTATAACGCATAAGCAAAAACATACAAATATGTCAACGCATACTTAAGATAACAACTTTGTTACTCAAAATTAACGGGTGGGTCAATTTTTTCGAAGGCCAGTGTACTTATGCAGTCGGGATTTCCCCGGCTTTGATCACAAAAGTGGTACCATTGCGTGTTTCGTTTCGTTCATTGCACTAGTAAAAACCGTATCGTTACATCTTAAGTATATTCAATTGCCATATTTTGTCATTCGGCAACCAGAGGCCAGCCTGCAAAAAAATTGATTGCCGTCTAATACGGCAATTGCCGTATCTATAATAACACTGCTGCCATTTTTCGTCGAATGTGGTACACGAAAGTGATTTTGTCAGTGCGAGTTAGACACAACATACCCGTCTATGCCCCCGAGAGGCAGTTATGCGTAGGTATTTCCACATGAAAAGAAAAACTAGTATCTAGTAGGCAATATAAGTAGGATGATATACCCTGTTTAATGTAGGTTTATATCGAAAAATTATCCTTATAAGTTATACTTAAATAAACGGAATGCTTCCGAAACGAAAAGCTGGAGAAGTCGAAATTATTGCGACTGCAAAACAACTTGTCCGTAGTGGGGCGGTGATATGGTAGGGAGGCAGGGAATGGCGTGATACGCGCACACCTCTGCATGTTTTGTTTATGCTGTTTAAAATAATGTTTATTTCAACACGTCACGACGATGCGACCATGCACTAGTTACATATGCCTACCGAGACCTTGCAAGCAATCAGGAAGTCACCTACCATACAGCATCGCCTGTTAAGCAAATAACAGCACGTGACTTAAGAATATTCAACACAGTGACATCAGGAAGTCACCTACCGCTTGTTAAGCAAAAATCAAGCACGTCAGGTTCACTGTCCACAGACCACATATGGTCTGTAGACTAAACTACTCTACCAGTCTACAGACCATATGTGGTCTGTTCATCAATACAATTTCCAGGCTGTTTTTATCAGTGGACGTGGGGAGAACGTCGTTCATTTGACATGGACTTGACAGAACATACCCTATATATTACAAATAGTGTTGGGACATAGGGAACAGATGTGCCGTTTTATCGTAATTGCGATTTAAAAAAAATGTAATATCGAAAACAAAGTTACCTATGTGCATTTTATTGCATTTTCACTTTAAGCTAAATAAATAATGAATATGTAAAATAAAACATACAATGTAATGAAAAGTAAATAGTTATTTATTGAAAAAGAAAAAAAGTACCAAAAAGTAAAAAAAATTAAATGTTCATATTATTATGTTCTTTTTGGAAACATTGTAAACAATACGGTACAGTATGGTACAGATGTTGCATATTTGTGAAACCCTTTTGGCTTTATTAGTGGCAGCTGCTGATGTTTCCCGTTTTTGACGAAACTCATTATAGCATCCGGCACACCTACGTCTGGTAATTTTGCCATCTTTTCTATCCAGCTGTTTGAGAAAATGCTGTGCTTGTGACGTAGACGGCGCCGGCGGCGCTGGTGTGGCCGGTGTCTGGACAACGTTCATACCCAAAAGATTTTTTATAACACAAATTTGGGCCTGTAATAACGTACATTTATTCTGCTGGTTCAATTTATTGAACAAATAAACTGTATTTATGACACCCCCCTTCAAACAGGACATTGACAGCAATTTTTTTGTACCATGTCAAAGTCTTACGAATTGGCGAATAGTAGCTAGCTAATTCGTCAGAAAGATCGATACCTTTTTTTCGATTATTGTATTCCAATATCATATTACAATGAGTTACAAAACCGCTTTCAGTGCCTAGAGGATTGCAATGCAGTGGACGATATGAATGACAAGCTCGTGGAAACTGTCCATGCGGTCGGAGCTAAGTTCTGCAAGACCCGCCGCAGAAGAACACAAAAACTCTCCGATCACACTCTTAATCTCATGGCTGTTAGACGGGAGATGAGGCTGCAATCGTCAACAGATTTGACAGCATACAGGCAACTGAACAGACAGATCTCCAAATGCATGCGGCGAGACTTACGCAACTTTAATACTGCTCGTATTAAAGAAGCGATCGAGCGGAACCAGGGCTCCAAAGTCTTTGCCAGAGATCTGTCTGCCAGAAAGAGCCAACTGTCAAGGCTGAAGACTGAATGTGGCAACATTGTTTCCGGGACACCTGAGATTCTGAGTGAGATTGAGAGGTTCTATGGGCAGCTGTACACATCATCTTTGGAGCCACATGCAAGTGTGAGTAACGATCCAAGAGCAAGTCTTATCCGACACTATTCCGATGATATCTCGGACGTCAGTCTGAGCGAGATTAGAATGGCTCTCCACCACCTTAAAAACGGCAAGGCCCCGGGCGAGGATGGAATTACAGCGGAGCTTCTGAAAGCGGGTGGAACACCGGTACTTGAAGTCCTTCAGAAGCTCTTCAATTCCGTCCTCCATGGTGGCACTACTCCGGAGGCGTGGAGCAGAAGCGCGGTGGTCTTATTCTTTAAGAAAGGCGACAACGCTCTCTTGAAGAACTACAGACCGATTTCCCTTCTGAGCCGCGTCTACGTGCTGTTTTCGAGAGTCATTACGAATCGTCTCGCACGCAGACTCGACGACTTCCAGCCTCCCGAACAAGCCGGTTTCCGAAAAGGCTTCAGTACCATAGACCACATACATACCCTTCGGCAAATTGTACAGAAGTCCGAAGAGTACAATCTGCCACTTTGCCTGGCGTATGTGGACTATGAGAAAGCCTTTGATTCCGTCGAAATTTGGGCGGTGCTACAGTCTCTTCAGCGGTGCCTAGTTGACTGTCGGTATATTGAAGTGCTGAAGTGTTTGTACAGTAGGGCTACGATGGCTATCCGAGTACAGAACCAGAGTACGAAACCTATCCAACTGCAGAGAGGTGTAAGACAGGGTGATGTTATATCCCCGAAACTCTTCACCGCTGCGTTGGAAGACGTTTTCAAGCTACTGGACTGGAAAGGATACGGTATTAACATCAATGGCGAGTACATGACTCACCTTCGATTTGCCGACGATATAGTCCTTATGGCAGAATCGCTGGAGGACCTTAGCACTATACTCAATGACCTCAATGGTGTCTCCCAACGGATAGGTCTTAAGATGAACATGGACAAAACAAAGATCATGTTTAATGTCCATGTCACACCTATGCTGGTAGTTGTTGGGAGCACTATGCTCGAAGTTGTTGACGAGTACGTTTACCTGGGACAAATAGTCCGACTAGGTAAGTCCAACTTCGACCGAGAGGTCAATCGACGGATTCAACTCGGCTTGGCAGCGTTCGGGAAATTACGACACATCTTCTCGTCAGGTAGATGAGACAAGATGAAGCTGTAAGAGTCGCATAGACTAACAGCATTAACATCAAGATAATAGAGAGTGATGACTTACGGATCTGAGACGTGGTCCTTCACCGCTGGCCGTATAAGGACGCTCAAGGTCGCTCAGCGAGCTATGGAGAGGGCTATGCTCGGAGTTTCACTGCGTGATACTCAGAAATGAGGATATCCGCAGTAAAATCAGAGTGACCGACATAGCCCAACGGATTAGTAAGCTGAAGTGGCAATGCGCCGGCCATATAGCTCGAAGAACCGATAACCGATGGGGAAGAAAGGTTCTCGAGTGGCAGCCTCGTACCGGTAGGCGTAGTGTAGGGCGACCCCCCACTAGATGGAGTGACGACCTGGTAAGACATGCAGGAAGTCGATGGATGCAGGTGGCTCAGGACCGTGCTTTGTGGCATTACTTGGGGGAGGCCTATGTTCAGCAGTGGACTTGTGAAGGGCTGTAATGATGATGAATATCATATTAGGCTTTGGACGCGGGTTTCGACCTGTACTCATCGTTTGTTCATCTGCGTGACAAGTAGATATCATGAGCACGTCCCTCTTGTCATGCCATTTTAGGATCGTCACATTATTTTTTTGAGCAGCAATTTGCTCTCCTCTCTTCAGTTTCTTGTTTTTAATCAATAAAGGTAAGTTTTTACGATTTTTCCTCAATGTCCCACAAAGATCAGTTTTACGTTGAAGCAAGTATTCAGCTAATGGTATACTTGTATACCAATTATCTGCTATAATCATTCTCCTCTGGTCCAAAAGGTCTTCACAAAGCTCGATAATAACACTTCCAGAGGTTATCAAGATTGGAGATTTGAGGATCTTGGCCAGAATAAACTTTATATTTCCAAACATACCCATCATCAGTTGTGACTTTGTAGATCTTGAGTCCATACTTGTGAGTTTTGTTTGGATTATACGGACGAATCAGCAGTCGGCCTTGAAAGGGAACCATAGATTCATCCACAACAACGCAGTCTTTTGGCGAAAGCAACTTCCTGCAGTTTCTCATTACAATGTCTATAACTGGTTGGATTTTATACAAGCGATTATTGACATCTCTTTCAATTGTATTGTCGACGAAATGCCAGCAGCGTAAAATTGCTATGAAACGATTGTAGGACATTTGTATCTGATGCAATAGAGGTGATAAAAAATGGGATCTTTTTTCCAGTAGCATTCTAATGTAGGGAATCTGATTATACCAGTCAGCAAGTAAATGCCCATAAATTTTTCCATTTCTTCCTTGTTTACCGGTCTCCAGCGGCTCAAACGACCTCCAGAATTATTAGCAATCAGTTGTTCAGCGTACAGATTGGTTTGTTCAATCACAAGGTCAAATAAATTGCCATCAACCAAAAGACGAAAAATTGTAAACACATCTGCATTTTCTGGAATGTTTTCAGTTTGTATAAAGTTTTCTGAGTTACTAAAAATTTGACGAACTAATGGCTGAATGTCGTAACTCCATCCATTTTCCTCATCATGTTCTTTCATTCGACGCTCTGTAGGTGGTATTGTGCCAGTTAGAGCTGCATTCATTTCAATGTCTCCGTCGTCGTCAGAATCGGAATCAGGTGGTGCGGTTATTTGGATTTGTTGTGAAGTGTCATTAGAGTTACGAGACGTCGACGGATGAGATGTCACCGTACTTTCAAAAATATCATTATTCATATGTTGTTCAATCGAATGCTGAATATTTATATTTCGTAGACTTGATCGGTCAGGTGACAAATCATGAGGAATAAAATCGGGATCGGCTACACTATCATCATCGTGAAAATCAGGCACATCACTACGGCCGTCGGTATCATTTTCTTCTTCATCCGACGAATTTGACTGGCTATTTTGTTCGTAATCACTCTCTTCTAATATTCTTCGCAACTCTTCGTCCGTACAGTATTGTTTTTTACTCATTTTGCCACAATAACTTATAAATCAGCGAAACAAGCTCAAAAATACAAACACGTTTGCTTTGTTTTGACTTTCTACTAATGTCATAAACGTCATTTTGTCAATCAAGTTGCTTATTTCACTTGTCATCGTAATCCATAATTTGTCTATGGTAATTTCTTATTTAATACAGATAAAAAATAATATAACGACAAAAATACGCACAGACCACATATGTTCTGTGGACTCATGAGGCAACTTTTGGTCATTTTTGTTCTAGAGTCCACAGACCATATGTGGTATGCTTTAAAAAATATTTTCCAATTACATATATATGTATTTCACAACATTATTTATTTATTTATACCCATAAGATACCAATTTTCACAAAAACATAACTGGACTTCGGAGCAATTTTCTCTCTCTAACCTGGACGGTGAACCTGTTAAAGATGTGACTTAATTTACTTACGTGACGTAGGAATATTCAATGCTATAAAAAACAAAGTTTAATTAATTGTTAAGACAGCCCAGAAGTAATTAAGTTAGTTTGTAAGTAAACTAGTCTAATATTCCTATGTATTAACATTGTCACAGTAGCTGACTTGTAAATTAGAAAATAAAAGTAATATAGGAAAGTCGACGTCTTCTTCCACTTCAACCCTCCTTAAGCTGCCCGCAAATGTAAGATACTCATAAACAATATTATGAGTAAATAATTATCTTATGTAAATAAAATATAAAAATATTTTTAATGATTTTTATAAAAGTTACGTATATACCACTCACTAAATAAGAAGTATTTTTATTATATTAATTTTTACCTCATATTAAATCCATATAGTTTCAAATGTTTTGGCTCATGGGACAAGGAACGGGTTAACAGCACTCATGTGCACAGAGGATTGAGGTATTTAACGTTCTGACGTCGGTTAGGCGCATAACTCACATTTAATATGCCCCTGAACAACTTTAACATCATTACCATCTGTATTTTTACGTTATTGTTTAAACGATACTTAAGCCATACTCATTTTATGTTGTTTGAGCATTTGAGTTGGGTACATTTTGCGTAATTGCCACTAATTGTGATTAAGCGCATCCGCTCCGTTTCGGAACACGCAGTAACGCAGGGTGGTTAACTCACTATCCTTAGACGCAAATGATAAGAGCATTACCACTCCATGAATTGCCCCTCTACCTGCAAGGCGTTTTCGATGACTTATTGTGTGATAGATGATACATCCTGTTACACATTGCGCTGCCTTTTCATAAAATTCGAACTGGAATACAAAAGTGGAAAGAATGTACCTACCCAAACTGACATATAGGCATCAATATCAAATTTTACGTAACATCGGAAAACAGCATGAAATAAATTGCTTAAAATGTATTCATAACTGATCTAGGGGTAAAGAATAGCAGAGCCACCAATGAAACTCTTAAAGTTTATTAAGACAGGAGCATACAATCTTAATGTACAGCCAAGAATTACAAACTTACAGTGCCAAACTCCTAAACATAGTTTAATACTACATAAACTAAATGAATCTACGATTTTCAAAACGGCTATTAAAATGTACAAGTTATATTTTACCTTCTTGTATCTCTTGTATTGATTATTAAAACTAATAATTTATTACGAATCATCATTTATTATCAATACACAGACATCACGAAATTATTAGGTGATAAATTAAAAATATAGGTATATCGTGTCCCTCTATATTTTTTCATAACTCGGAGAAACCAGCACAATTCATTATATTCTATTATCATTTTGAAAATCGAATTATACATACCTTATATATAAAATATATGAACTATCATTACCCATCATACTCAAATTATTTTATCAAAAATTAGTTTCAGTGAAAGCATTTAAACGATTTGTATTGGAAAGTAATTTTTAACTTACATGTAATGTTTTAAGATTTCATGTACCAACTAAGCTCTTTTGAGTTATTATTGTTATAGTTGAAACTAAAAGACATTGCGTGACACTTAAAAATGAGTACACACTGTTAGACCTAATTTTGCCTAGGTATTTTGCCCGTGTTGTATATAAGAACAAGCAATAAATCAAATTTTTGTTTCAACTGTGTGTGCGCTTATATTACTGAACTCACAAGTTAAAATTATTGCGAAAGTGTTCATTCATATTTTTTCACAGTAATTATTATTTTTTGAATCTTGAAACTTTGTACTTTGAATCTTTGATACACTTAGTGCAATAGTGACAATTTACCAATATTCTACTGATTCTAGTGACTACAAAAAAAAAAAAAAGTTCCATACCAATAAATCTTAGGCTTTCAACACGAAAGCCAGGAACATCTTAAAATTTGTTATAACAGACAAGAAAATTATACGTTACTACGTTACAATGAATTTTAATTGATAAATTGCAATAGGCATACTGTTACGTCAATTATATAGTTGTTTTATAAATACTAAGAAACAAAGTTTACCGTAGCATTTTTTTTTTTTGGTGAAAGCAATAGTAAAATTAAGTTTAAACTACTCATTCATTTAATTTCATACTGTCGAAATTTTATCAAAACAATTTTAGCACTGCTTGAAGTTAAATAATTGTGCAAGTCCGAAGAGCAAAAGAGAATAGATTTAGAAAACAGGAGTGTTTAACTAATTTACTTAATATCTAGGGGGCCTTCTTGAATAATAAGTTGTAATGAAAATAATTTAATTTACCAAAGGAGACCAAAATGGTCACACTCCAACATTGACAAGTTGAGGGGCTGATCATTCCAGATATGTACAGAGTATATACTAAATACCAAAATATTAAGACTACAGTGAATAATCTTTAGGTAGATATATTAAATAAAATGTAAACGCCCACAATATATAATTATATCTAGCTAAATAACCTCACGCCGCCAAAATTATGGAAATTAAACATGCAACGACAAGCACATTTTAGTAACAGTATATCATAGCCTCGGACCTCTATGTTTGCATGTACACTTGTAAGTGTACAAGAGAGAGAGAGAGAGAGAGAGAGTATGCAAGAGATTTCTTCCCAAAATGCCAATCTGCAGCTTGGGCATGCTGCGAATCTTATGCTTCTGTCCACTATGGTTCAGACTGAACCTGAACTACCAGAACTTCAGAGGACAGAGAATGTTTTAAAGAAAAGAAGTACACTTTGACTCTTTACTATAACTTGAACTTAATAATTCAAGTTATACTAAAAGAACTTAATTGTTAATACAAGTTCTTATCAAAATTGCACGTGTTTATTGTTTATACATAGACCAATGTTTGACCATAAAAATGTATGGAAAGTGGATATAATATCCAAAATGATACGCGCGTTCGCCTCGGAAGTGCGAGGTACCTTGGCCTAGAATAGATCCATGCTGAGACAAACTGGCGTCGACAAAAAGAATTTAACACATTAAGATGATCCTTTTTAAAATGATCAGACATTCCTCTTTGTACGCGTTTGTGGCACATATGCAGTCGAAGCCCATTAATTCGCCTCGTTTATGGGGCCTTGTTACGATTACCTTGTTCAGGGGCGTCTATAGGGCTGTATTTGCCTTATAGTGATCTAATATACTTATATGTATGTACAGCTGGAATATTTTCGTAGAATGGGCACACAAAGGGGTTTTAATATAGGGTCCAGCCCAGAGGAAAAGTAATCGCCGTGGTGGAAACTGGCCGCGAAATTATCACGATAGTATTAACAAGTGCTATGTGCTTCTGATAACGATCAGTGCATTGCAGACAACTGACAAGAACCGGTTTAACAGAACTTGCAGTATGTAAGATTTAAATGAAATGTACATTTAAGTTAAATAATCCGACAGAAACCGAGAGGGAGAAAACATCTGTATGATTTAAGCATAAGTTAGTAGACTAGACAATTGAACGCAACGAAAATACTCCGACACTAATGGAATTAGATTGACCACTAACAAAAATTATTACCTCCATGCAGATGACAGTTGTCCATGTTCATTGCTTTTAGTTTTTTTTGGTTTCTTTTCTATCTTTTCGTGTCATTTCTTCTATTAACTAAATCTAAATTAACATAATAGAATTTATGGTTTCTTGATTTGTTTGTTAGAGATTATGTTATCTTCGTTTTTAGTTTTTGTAACATTTGTATATTTTATTTTATTATCTAAATTAATATAATAAAATACCATGTATTATACTTTTTCGTAATATCATGGACAGTCTTAGCGCAAACACTAGGGGGGTCAAGGTCAGTTTACTCTTCAGATATACAACATTTTTACAACATTCTTGAACATTTAAAATGTTAGAACATGACATTTTGGCCTCGATCTATTATATAAAATCATTTAAACTAAATATATATTATATATAATCATGATGTTTTAGGTACAAAATACTAAAGTGTGAAATTTTAACACAAAACATTGTAGCTGATTATGTTTGAATTTAATTTACAAAATGTCATATCGTACATTTAAAGATATATTATAATGTATCTATAAATAACAATACATTATTGTTGAATTTAGTTAGTCGCATAATCAAATTGAAATCAGAAAATAAACGTCCTACTTCTAGACTTCATAATATTCGCTTATCTTTGCATTATTACCGAGACAAACCAAAAATTTATTCTATTAATTAAAACAAAAAAGGTTATTTGGAAAAAAATATACCAAAGGTATGATTTTTTATATCAAATATGTCAAAAACCACATCTAAACAGCAGCTGCAATGATACAATATCTGAAAAGTCTTGTTACAATAAGTCCGACCGAAAATAATATTGCACTTATCTAAAAATGTATTTTACAAAAACCCTGTTCGACAGTTACATGTAAGAACAGTTTATAAATAAATTTAACTCCACTCTTCTCAAATCATGAAATATTACTAGCAATAGACGTAAATTTAAAATAACACACGACATGTAAGAGAACCAAAGGGGGGGTCGTCCAGTACTGTGACAAATAACTATCATGTTCCATCAAGTTTACAATTATATCTCTTTTAGCAAAATTGAGTGACATACATCCAAACATAAATTTGCATTTTTAAAATTTGTACTAAATAACATCCGAACCACAATCATATCTCGCTAATAAGTTTTAATGTCGGTTTTTGTATATAACAGTATGATATGTTGATATCAGTTTATCATTTCTTGGACACAAATTTTTCAAATTTACCTAAAACTGAATTTGCCTTTTGTTTGGAACAGGGTTTTTGTTTCCACGTATACCATTTTGACATAATATATTGTAGTTTTATATGAAAATACGATATTGAATTCAAAAATAAACTTAATTTAAACACCTTTCTCTAACGCTGTTTTCAGTATTTACTTTTATAAAATAAAACACATACAATATAAGCTGAAATCAAAGAATTATACTCATAAGGAAGTCACAATTTTCTTATTTAAAATTACTCAGCGTTATCATAACGGACTCTGAAACAAATAAAAATATATTATAAGAAAACAACCTATTCAATAAACAAAAATACATTAAAGATTTTTTATTTTATTTATATTGAAGTCAGTTGTACAATTTTTTTAATTTTACCACTTATTATTCAATTATTGGTGCCCCTCCTATAGATCTCTCTCTGCTTAGCCTAATGGTTGACTAAGAGAATCCTCTTCGGTATTAACTACTACTTTGTGCATTAAAGTAAACATAATTCAATAAATAATTAAAGTGAATGAGATATGCAGTTAATTTACCGTTGACGCTGACCCCTCCTTTTGCTGAGCCGACGACCTGAAGTTGGATCTTGCAATGTAAACCGATTTGTGGTTTCAGGAGCGACTCTTAGACTCCGTGAATCAGATGAGCGCGCAGCGTCTACCTGCAAAAATATTTTTAAATGACTATATGGTATGAAGCTGAACATTTAACTTTTTAAATTGGTAATAACATACTTTATCCATAAATTTTTTTATTAACTCAGGACAGTTAAGATTGCTTTCAGGTTCCCAAGAATCAAACTTGCTAGACCATCCTTTCCAATGGATAAGGAATTCCCTTTTCCCAGATTTCTTATGATGAACTTCCAAAATCCGTTCAACCTGAAATCATCAATTATAATAAATAAAGCAAATATTATTGAGACAAACATGATATAATTGTAATAATTGAATAGTTTGTAGCTCTGCTGGGGTGACATTTATTTTACATATCAAAAGTAATGTTACTATGTGTTGCTATCAGCAGGCCTACTCACTAACTTTATTGACATCAAAATGATTGACACTTTGCAGTCCATTGCATTGTATGTTTTATGAGCTGTGGTAGCTTTACTACAAAAGCTTTAATAGTACATTGAAATAAAAAAGGCTCATTAAAATTGGTTTACAATTAGCAAAGATATTGCATAATTTTGTATATAGAAATGCACATGCACATAGTTTCTGTGTCAGTTTGAGAACGCTCAATATCGTATGTGTCTTGTTTTTCGCTAAAATTTAGTTTTGCCTACTACCACTGCTACCACATGAAATTAATATTTATACATATTTACCTACCACTATGCTATAATTAAATGGTTACCAGCAGCACTGTGTTCAGAGTTTAATTATAGAATGTAATACATTATTCTATTTAAGTAGGCTATTAAGGCTGTCTAGCAGCATAAATATAATCTTCTTCTAATATATAAAATTCTCGTGTCACAGTTTTCGTTGCCATACTCCTCCGAAACGGCTTGACCGATTTTGATGAAATTTTTTGTGCTTATCCGGTATCTATGAGAATCGGCCAACATCTATTTTTCATCCTCCTAAATGTTAGGGGTAGTCCACCCCTAATTTTTTTTATTTTTAGACAAAATTTTTAATTTCTATTTTTTTATGATACAACATACAAAAATACATACAATCCTCAATTTTCACCCTTCTACGATCAACCCTTATTTTTTAATAGCCATTTTAGTAATTTAATCATTTTTCCTCTTCGGTCGAAAACTGATCAATCGTCATTTAATTAGTTATCCCCGCCGTCTACAGGTGTCACTTCTGACCCAGTAAACAGCACGGAGTAGGGATGAGAACGAAGCCGGTCTCCTTTCTTTCTCACTCCCTACACAGTTGTCGGCCATCATTATTGTTTATGCATCAAGTGTAGTAGTAACGTTGACAATTATTATTTTGCTATCTCAGTGTAACTCTCATATTAACTTTTAATCATTCCTATTTTATCAATAATAATTAAATTATCAATTTTGAGTGTATTTTGCACGATTAGTTAATCAAGTGATTTTATAACCCCAAAAGTACTCAACACGTGACACGATCTTCCAATAACAACGGATTTTGTGTTGTAAGTATACTTTTTTTTATTTATATCGAAAATGTTGTTGATCTTATAAAAATGTAATTTTAATTTTATTTTATTAAAAAAATGTAATTGAACAATTAAGACTTTCATAGTTTCCAAAAAATCAATCATTATGAATCTTTATTTTGAAATGTCAATGGAAATATTGGTTGTATGAAAAAATTATAAGAGACAATGTTTTCATAAAATTTAATTTTTTACTTTTGTTTGAAATTTTTTTCCATAAAACTTATATTTTTGTTATAATTTCATAAATTAAAACTAATCATTTCAAAACTGCGGCAAAAATCCTGGCCCTAATTATACTTTTAACATTTTTCATCATTAAATAATTTCATTAATTCTATTATGTATGTTTTGTACAGTGAGCAATGCCAAGAAAACGCAAAGGGGCTGATTTGAGCCGCAGTACAAGTAAAGCTCGAAACTTGCGAAATAGCAGATCCGAAAGAACAGAAGAACAAATCCAGCAACAAAATACTGATGCACGTGTCAGAATGACGCAATTGGATCAAGAAGAGCCAGAAGATACACGGCAATGAAGTCAGAAGATTAGAACAACGACAATCACGCCGTTTCAAAGTCAGTAGACGAAGAACAAATGACCAACAACGACAACAGGTACATCGAGCATTTATATCTGATTCATTCCTGCGTCTAGCATTCCAGTAAGAGCCCGATATTGAATATTATGCTCATTCAAAAGTGGTAATTGGTGCTATGGACAAGGAATGTCCGCATTGTCATGCTCTGAAATTCAAAATTGAGCCAGCTGGGATGTGTTGCGCGTCAGGAAAAGTGCAACTACCTGAAATTGAAACACCACCTGAACCATTGAACCGCTTACTTATCGCCACGGATCCAGATTCTAACGTGTTCCTGAAGTCAATTCGAAGATTCAATTCATGCTTTCAAATGACATCGTTCGGAGCAACAGAAATAGTTCGAAATACTAATGCAAATGGTCAACAATTCAATTCTACATTCAAAATCAGAGGCCAAGTTTATCATAATATGGGCTCACTGCTGCCAATGCCAAACGAACCACATAAATTCTTACAAATCTACTTTATGGGCGGCGAGGATTCCGGAAGCGCACTTGCCAATCGCGTGAATGCACGTTGTGATTATAATAACCTTGATTCACTTTATGCCAGGCGCATCGTCAGCGAGCTAGATGCTCTTTTGAACGAGCACAACGAGTTGTTGAAAATATTCAAATCACATATGCACCAATTACAAAGCGATAATCACGCTATCGTCATTAATCCTGATAAAACACCAGCTGGAGAGCATATTCGTAGATTCAATGCACCCGTTGTTGATGATGTTGCTGGAATCATGGTTGGCGATTGTACAGCTGCACGAGAAATTGTGATTCGTAGAAGAAATAATAATCTTCAGTTCATTGCTGACACACATCGTTCATATGACGCTCTCCAATATCCACTAATATTCTGGAAGGGACAAGACGGATCTTGCATAAACATAAAACAACGAGATCCCGTATCAGGTACTTCATTGATTATTAATTTGATCATTAATCATTTAACAAAACAATTAAATTATTGAACATAATAAATTTAAATTAATTTTTATGAACAAATATTACAGGAGCTGAAACAAACAAGAACGTTAGCTCAAAGGATTATTATGCGTGCCGATTAATGATTAGACGTGGCCTGGACGTCATTTTACGATGTCGTGAGCTTTGTCAACAATTCATGGTCGACATGTACGCGAAGATTGAGAGCGAACGACTACGATACGATATAATCAACAAAAGCTGCGCGCGGAAGAGTTCATTCATTTGCGAGACGCTATCAACAACAACGCCGACGTCGCCGAAATTGGTAACCATGTCATTTTACCATCATCGTACGTAGGCAGTCCACGTCATATGCAAGAATATATACAGGATGCTCTGACTTTCGTGCGCGAATATGGACGACCATGTTTATTTTATCACGTTCACATGTAATCCAAAATAGCCAGAGATTACATCTTTGCTACTGCCTGGCCAAAATGCAATACATCGCCATGACATTACTACAGCACGTGTGTTCAGACAAAAGTTGAAGTCTTTAATAAGTTTCATTACTAAATCACATGTATTTGGTCCCACACGTTGCTGGATGTATTCGGTTGAGTGGCAAAAGCGAGGATTACCTCATGCACACATTTTGGTTTGGTTCATCGGCAAAATCCGTCCTGAAGAAATCGATAGTATCATTTCTGCGGAAATTCCAGATCCATCCACTGACCAACTGCTGTTTGATATTGTTACAACAAACATGATTCATGGTCCATGTGGTACTCTTAATAGTTCATCGCCTTGCATGGCTGATGGAAAATGTACTAAAAATTTCCCTAAAGATTTTACCAATGATACGGTCACAAATGTCGATGGATACCCAATATATCGTCAAAGAAATCCTGAAAATGGCGGACAATTATTTATTAAAAATATCATCAACACAGACATTGATATTGACAATCGTTGGGTGGTGCCATATTCGCCTCTGCTGAGCAAGACATATAATGCTCATATTAATGTTGAGTTCTGCAGTTCTGTGAAGAGCAACAAATACATTTGCAAGTATGTCCATAAAGGCAGTGATATGGCTGTGTTTAGAGTGGAAAATTACTAATGTGAATGCTCCTCCAGTGAATAAAAACGATGAAATAACGCTCTACCAAATTGGTCGGTACATCAGCTCCAATGAAGCTGCTTGGCGTATCTTTGGTTTTCCAATTCATGAACGGGATCCAGCAGTTGTTCAGTTAGCCATCCATCTTGAAAACGGTCAGCGTGTATTTTTCACGAACGAGACGGCGATTGATCATGCAATAAATCCACCTAAAACTACACTCACTGCATTTTTTGAATTGTGTAATCGTGCGGATGATTTTGGTGCCTTTGCACGAACATTACTCTATTCACAAGTACCACGCTATTTCACATGGACTCAAACAAAAACATGGATGCCCCGCAAGCAAGGCTCACCAGTTGCTGCAGGTCTCAATTTATTTAAATCAAACGCCTTGGGGCGATTATTTACAGTCAATCCAAGACACACGGAGTGCTTTTATCTTCGACTGTTGTTGGTTAATGTTACTGGCCCATTATCATTTCAAGATAGAACGTATAAAGATGCATGCCTTGCACTCGGCTTGCTGGAAGACGACAACCAGTGGGAATGCATGCTTGCTGAAGCTGCATTGAACTGTACAGCAATACAAATTGCTTGTATAGTTAATGTCATGGCAATGCTATTGTTAGTTTACATGTTTCCCAGGAGAGAATTATGGGACAAAGATTCAATGATGATGATTTGGTATCGGTGCCACTATCTAACCATAACATTCAGCGACGAAATGTACAATGAAACATTGATCGCTATTGAGGATCTTTGCATTGTCATTGCCAACTTACCACTTAGTAATTTCGGTATGAATTCGCCAAATCGAACTGCATCTGATTTAATGAATACTGAAATGAATCGTGAACTGCAGTACAGTACTGTAGAAATGGCAGCGATTGTTGCCCGCAATGTCCCACTAATGAATGAGGAACAAAGAACTATTTATGATCGCATTATGCTCGCAGTTTCAGCTGGACAAGGTGGGTTCTTCTTTTTGGATGCACCAGGTGGAACTGGCAAAACATTCGTTATTTCGCTAATTCTTGCTGAAATACGATCAAATAATGGCATCGCATTGGCCGTTGCATCACCGGGCATTGCAGCAACTTTATTGGATGGAGGTAGAACAGCTCATTCAGTATTTAAGCTGGCAGCTAAATATTCAGAATAACCCTGACGCAGTATGCAACATTAAGAAACAATCGTCCATGGCCACTGTGCTGAAACGGTGTAAAATTATTATTTGGGATGAATGTAGTATGGCACACAAACATTCACTTGAGGCGTTGAACAGGACATTGAAAGATATTAAAAACAGTGACAAACTATTTGGCGGAACTCTGTTGGTCCTTTCAGGTGATTTCAGACAAACACTTCCAGTCATTCCACGTTCAAAATACGCTGATGAGATCAACGCTTGCTTAAAATCATCTCCATTGTGGCGTAATGTTGAAAAATTACAGCTAAAAATAAATATGCGCGTTCAAATGCTTCAAGATCCATCCGCTGAAACATTTTCAAAACAACTCTTAGATATCGGTGATGGAAAAGTTGCTATAAATGAAACTGGATACGTAAAATTACCGACCGATTTCTGCACAATCGCTGATTCGCAAGATACTCTCATTGAACAAATATTTCCCGATGCACACACACAGTACATAAATCAGGAGTGGCTTGCAGAAAGAGCGATTTTAGCGGCAAAAAATGTAGATGTCGACAATTTAAATCTGAAGATACAAATGTTGTTGCCAGGGAACTTGGTATCATATAAATCTATTGATACAGTTTGCGACGACAGCGAAGCAGTAAATTTTCCCACAGAGTTTTTGAACTCACTGGATTTGCCAGGCATGCCACCGCATAATTTACAATTAAAGGTTGGATCTCCAATTACCTTGCTTCGTAATTTGAACCCGCCCCGGCTGTGCAACGGTACGCGATTAGTCATTCAAAAATTAATGAAAAACGTGATCGAAGCCAGGATTTTAAATGGCAAGTTCAGAGGTGAAAATATACTCATACCACGGATTCCTATTATACCTACAGATGTGCCAATTCAATTCAAACATATTCAGTTTCCGATTAGATTGGCATTTGCAATGACTATCAACAAATCCCAAGGTCAAACGATGTCTGTTTGTGGATTAGATTTGAGAACACCATGTTTTTCACACAGACAATTATACGTGACATACTCTCGAGTGGGTAAACCATCCAGTTTGTTTGTGTTAGCTAAAGATGGACTAACAAAAAATATTGTTCACGCTATAGCATTAAGAGATTGATATTGTTTAATAGTGTTACTGTCGTAATTGTTTAATTAATGATATATAATTTTAAGGAATAAATTATAATAACTTAAAAATAATGTTTGCCTTTTGTTATTTTTATATTCCCTCATCGTTCACAGAGCTCCATTCTTATTTCATGCATATACCACATTCTTACATACATACAATATACACATTCTAACATACATACATATTTACAATAAGTAAGCTATTTTTTGTCTACGCTAGAAATTACTAGGAAATTATTTATATGGCAAAACAATGTTTGCCGGGTCAGCTAGTTTAAGTATATAAATTAGCTAGATGATAAAGAACATGACTGACATTGAAACTGTCATGGAAGACGAGGCTAGTTATGATTCAAAATAAAGATTTTTTAATTTAATATAAAAAACAAATATTGTTCACCAAAAATATTGTTATTTCACCACTTACCCAAAACACTAATCTAACTACTCGCATTATTATGGTTTGTAAAGATGAGCTTGCTTGTGACCTGCAGTTATGTACACACATGTCACGTTACAAGTACAAGAATTGCCCAATCAGAGTCAAATTAATCTTGCAGTTATATTAGTAATATAGTTGTAGCACTAATGGGTCGGCTCAACCAGGGAAGGACCATGCTCTTATAGGCTACCAGCATAAAATAGCAGCTTAATGCTGCTGTGTTTCGTACGGTGAGTGTGGAGAACCAGATGAGGGGATTAAACACATATTAAACTAATTCTGACATTTGCAAAAATGATGCTAATATATGTCCTTTCTTCTCAAAATCTTCTATAACCTGTGTACCTTTTTTCATAGACATTGCCTGGTAAAAAATTTAAATACAAAAAAACCCAATGCCATTGTATACATAATAAATAAATCAAAAAACATTGCATTCAAAAGCACATTACCACCTTCATGTGATGCATGTGCAGGCAGACAGAAACACAGATAGTCAGACAGAAATTCTAATAGAAAGTATTTGAATCTATCTTTTTAAAAAGAAATGTAAGAAAATAAAAAATTGGTTCTTAATTATTACCTCATATTCAGCTGCTTCATCAGCATTTTCACTGTCCCATTCTGCATTCTTTGCTTTCTTAGGGGATGTCTTGGGGTTAGTTTTCGATTTTCGTTTGTTACCTTTTTTCTCTTGGGGTGTATCACCATCTTTATCCTTTGAATTTTCTTTCTGAATTATGCAGGAAAGAAATGGAATTAAAATTATACTATAGTTGTAACATTTATTCGAAATTTTACCATATGTAATGATTCTGATTATTACGGCAATTATTATGGTAAATAATCAACAACACTAATACTGATATACACATTTTAGTGTAATTCAGCTGTATTTATGTGTCATTGATGCAAAATTATGCATTAACCTCTGAAACAGCAAGCGTTTAAATTTGACCGCTTCGATATTCCATCAAAATTCAAGAGGTCAAATGTGACCGCACCCACCCACAGCACTTTAACCCATCACTACTTATGTTTAGAGACTACTTTTCTATGAAGAAGTTTGGCATTATAGAATAAATATAAAATTTTATATCCTCTAGTCTAGTGGAATAAAAAGTCAGTTAGCTAATGGATATTTATTTATAATCTACATTCATTTCGTACGCCATTTTCGTGTGAATGTTGTTGTGTTGATTTTTGGATTTTTCTAGTATTTTAGTATAGTGTTTTATTATAAAATTGTAATGAGTTTTTGTGTGAGTATAATTTATCTTTTTACGTAAATAAATCCGAGTATATATAGAAACAATTATGATTTTCCCACTGCTGACATCTGCTTGGTATGTTTTTTTTTGTTATCAAAATACAAAAAAAATCTTTTTGTAATGAAGTAAAACCCGACTTTTGTTTAGACCACAGGATAGAGAATTTTATATTGATTTTAAAATGCCAGACTTCTTCATAGAAAAGTAGTCTCTAAATATAAGTTTTAATGGTTCAAAGTGCTGTGGGTGGGTGCGGTCGCATGCGACCGCCCGGGATATGTCAGATAGGATTTTTATGAGGATTGAAGGGTTAACAGAAAATCCTAGCAATTATAGTTTTTATTGATAATGAAATTGGTGATCCTAATATATCAGTATTAAAATGGTATTGTTATATTCCTTAGATAAAAACATTATTCAACATTTTTTACATAATTAACTGATTAAACAATGCAACCAACTAATATAAATTGTCATGATTGTTAACTGGCTATAATAATATAAGAAGCTTAGTAAAATGCTAAAATACCACTACTTAGAATTACCTTTCAGTAGTGGAAAATCCTGAAGGTTAAATATTGAACTCATAAAAATTCCAAAACTACATTTAAAGAAGTATAATATAAAAATTGTTTTTATTACTAAAAGGTAAATCATACTTAAGAAATTCTGCAGGAGCAGATGTTTTAATATTTACAGTTACCTACTGTATGTAACAATTAGGATCAAAACCATTCATTGATTGTAGGCAGGGTTAGCTATAAAACAGACATAATACATCAAAGGTGCTTCAAATATCATAACTGTTTTAATAGTACCTTAATACCCTAATTGTTTTTGAATAAATACAAACTTTTCTTATATTTATTTCAGAAATGACAGTAACATTAAGAATAAAATACTCACTTCTTCATTGAATTTGTTAATTAATTCAGGACAAGATAAAGTATTTTCTGGCTCCCATGTATCACTATCAGCTGAGTAACCTTTCCAACGTATGAGATAATGCAATTTTCCTTTTATTCTTTTAGAATCTATGATTTTTTCTACCTGAAAATTTGCTCACTTATAATAGTTATTGGTAAAGGTTTAGTATCAAATCACCATAACATGGGGGCGGAGTATAATCGCCCCCACCTTTCCGCCGGAGATGCATAGTATTTTTTTATATTAAATGTTAAAGACTAAAATTTTTGTTGAATGATTTCTGAGAAAAATTCTTCCTATTTCTACGTGTTTTTGAATTAAGGGCACTATTTTACGCATTTTGACAGATGCAACTAAAAAATGTAAGAATGTAGTGCATTTTAAGTTCCATTTTAGGTATTAATTAGTGATTTATGAATATTTTTAGAAAATGATATTAAATATTTCAACTCAGCTTCGGCTGGTAAAATTCCATGGGGACGCTTGAGATAAGCCCCCTGACCAACCATCTGCACTGTGACAAAATCCTCAAATTCAGGCAACTTAATACTAAACCCAACTCATTACTTCCTAAATATTAACATACTGTTGTTTTATAATCAAAAAGAAGGAAGCTAAATCATATTCAAATAAGAGCATAAACAATAATTAATTATAGTGATAAGCCTAAGCATTACAAAAAAACATTTATCAGAAATACAACAAGAACTTCCACTTCTGATCTCAGAAATACATAAGGAAAAGGTCAATTGTTAAAAATTGTAAAAATATGAGAGCAGATGTTCAACTTGCTCTCCTTCTTATGCAATTAATCATTATCAGCAATAAAACAATATAATGCACTATACATTCATTATAGTGCAATTACAGTTCGACCATACCGTAGTATGTCCCCATCACAATTATACACTAGTGTAACATGAAGGTCATAATGACATGATAACACCAAAGTATGCAAACCATGCACATCTTAGTGTAACACAGAGCAGCCTCTCAGCAATAGCATCTTCCTTGCCTAAACTACAAGAATCACCAACGGACCACAATACTGTGTCAGCACTCATACAATATATAGAATGAAATGAATATCTAGCGCAAGGCGCCTACACAGAACTATATTGATGTTTCTCGATTTACCCTCGATTCCACCACGCCACCATCGATAAGGCGCTCCGCTAGTGACGCAACCTCTCACTCACTCTCGATCCAACCGGTAATTTATAAATATGTGGGATATTTAAATAAATAATTAAAACTAACCTCATACTCTTCTGCGTCGACTTTTTTTGGTTTTTCCGCTTTCTTTTTTTTAGATTTGCTTTTTTTAGCTTTCGCCTTTTTAGGAGTATCTGCCTCTTCTTTAGCTACATCAGAAGAGTCGATGACACTATCATCGGTATTTCCTGACTTAGTCTCAGGCACCTTTTCATTTTCATCATCAACTGGCTGTTCAGCATCTTGGTTTTCTTCAGTAGCCACAGACCCAGATCCATTTGTGGAAGACATCACATCGTCATCGGTACGATTTTTCGATACTTTTCTCATTGTGGTTTAGAAGCACTATATTAGAAGTTAGAAGCACAATCCTTAAAAATCGTACACAAACAATACAATAATATTAGAAAGCCAAGAGACGCAAACGCCGCAATCGTGAAAAGGAGGGAAAACGAAAAGCAAGCGAGCGACAAGCGTGCCTTACAGTGTTACCAGAGCATTTTTCAAAAAAGATGACCGTTACTTAGCTGGAACATTTTGTGTATAAAACAATTCATTTTAGTCGCACATGAGGAGATAGATAATTTAAATAACTTATGTAACGAAATAAAATATGTGTAAATTGTAATAAAAACGAGGAAAAAAGGAATTTATTGATGGCCTTTTGTAACAAGCTGTTCCATTTCGTCACTTTAATAACTTCTTTTTTGTATAAATAAAACAATTTTTTATTACGTATCTTTTTATTTTTTATAGATATTAAATTTTTTTAAATAATAGATAGCACTTTGGTCGAATTTTCACATAAATATTCGAAAAATTTCTCTTAAGCCGTTCATTACATCATTTTTGTGACTTAACATCTTACAAATTATAATATATTAAGCATATAGTTGAAACATATGCATAATATACTAAAATTTGTGTGAGTATGGTGGCGATCACCTCATTCCCATGGGTTATTTTCACTTATGTATTCATTTATAATATAGTAACCTTTTGTGTACAATTTTTCTTTAATAAATCATTTAAACTTGTTTAATGACAAATTTTGTACCTTTTCTGGGATTTTGTTGTAAATACATTGCCCCATAAATGAATGACTAATTCTATGGAGTCTAGTAACTGGTATTACAAGTTTATGTTTGTTCCTAGTGCTTAAAGTATAAACATCTTTATTGTTATGAAAGCTATTTATGTTTTTATGTACATACATTCTATTTTCATCAATGAAGTGATACACAAAATGCTATAAATAAACATTTTTAAACAGCAAAAAAATTTTAGTTAAATTACTAAAATCTATTGTAATTAAAATCATATCAACCCCAGCCTGTGACCCTGCAAAGGGACAAGATCAAAGATGCCTACTAAATTTATTGTTTTATTGCCGTTCGTAAAGTAGGGTGGATTTGTTTTAAATTTCGATAATTTTTAATTAATTTATTTATTTAATTAATTTTTTTAAATATCAGTGCTATAAGCTTCTACTCCGTCAACATAATACACCGTATTTTTTCCAGACGGTAAAAAGGTCATCTAGTATATATATATATATATATATATATATATATATATATATATATATATATATATATATATATATATATATACAGGGTGTCCCAGAACTCAACGTCAAGCCGAAACAGGGTGACAGGAATGATTGTTACGATCATGAGAAAAATCAGAAAAAAAAATCTATCCCATGCAGTTCGGAAATTATGGGCATTTAAGAAAAATCTAGAATTTTGGTGAAACTGTAACCATTTTTCGGTTTTTGTGGTTAATTTTCATTATTTTTGTTCATTTAAACTTTGGAACCGTAACCCTAAATAACATTTCTAGAACAACAGTTAAAAATAATGACACAACTGCCCCAAGTTTTCTAGAATTAAGACTATTTATTAAACTATGAATATAACATTTTTTATATTTGTCGACTTTGAAAGGTCCTCCTTTAAAAAAAATATAATAAAGTGTGTTGGCAAGTGCCATTAAAAGTTTGCGCATTTAACCAGCATTGTAAAATGGTATAATACTTGTTAGTTTCATACTAAAAAAAAAACTAGTTAAAAAATAAAAACATCGAGTAACCCGATTTTTGCTAACCCATTTTACTCAGTTCAAATGTTTTTTATTCACACAAGCTCTTGGTAGGTTCTTAATTTTACGGAAAAATGATGAGAGAGATGGATAATAGACATGATTGCCGTGAGCGACCGAGACAGATAGTGACGCCACGCAATGAGACGGAGATGCGTCTGACACCAGTTAGTACGATTCGCTCATTTGTCTACTGCGCACCTTTCTGTATTCGCTTGTGTTGATTTAGTACTGACAACTTGGCTTCTCTTTTTGGACTTAGATTATTGTGAATTGGACTTGTTGATTACATACCGGGCAACTTTGGCTTCTCTATTTTGGAATTGCACTTTTGGCTTCTCTTTTTGGACTTAGATTATTGTGAATTGGACTTGTTGATTACATACCGGGCAACTTTAGCTTCTCTCTTTTGGAATTGCAATTTGTTGGCATCCTTGTTATCTACCATGCCCACGCGCTACACTTCACAAGAATATGCCAACATGCACCTCATTTATGGGGAATGCAGATGCAACGTAAGTGCCGCCGCTAGACTTTATCGTGAAAGATATCCAACTTTAGAGCGCCATCCGGATCACCGCGTGTTTGTTAATGTGCACCGTTCACTTACGGAGGGCGGCCATTTTCCGAATCAAATAAGGGCTGGAGGTAGAGCTCGCTTTCCTTACGAGGAAGAAGTGTTACAAGAGGTCGCAGATGATCCAAGTATTTCCGTTCGTGGAATTGAAGAAAGAACGGGAATACCCAAAAGCACATCACATCGTATTTTACAAAGAGCCGACATGCATCCGTTTCACGTACAATGCGTTCAAAGTCTTCTTCCTCGAGATTATCCTGAAAGGATTTCATTTTGTAGAACAATGCTACAGAGGCATAACGAAAATCGCCATTTCATCCAAAAAATTCACTGGTCAGATGAATCTACATTTAAAAAAGATGGTTACATAAACTTACACAATTTTCACGAGTGGCATGTGGCGAATCCACATTTAATGCGAGAAGACAGATCCCAGTATCGCTTTAAAGTAAACCTGTGGACCGGAATTTTAAACGGCAAAGTTGCTGGGCCTTTTGAGCTGCCTGAGAACTTTAATGGCACGAATTACTTACATTTTTTACGAGAAAATTTACCAACTTTGTTAGAGGACGCACCACTAGCAGATCGTCGCCTCATGTGGTATCAACAAGATGGCTGCCCAGCGCATTACGCGGTGCAAGTAAGAAATTTTCTTGACCAAGAATATCCGGGAAGGTGCATTGGACGTTCAGGCACTATCTCGTGGCCAGCCCGTTCCCCAGATTTAAATCCCCTGGATTTTTTTTACTGGGGCGTTCTCAAAGAAAAAGTTTATTCAAAGCCCATTGACAGGGTAGCCGAGCTGCGTGAACGAATTTCTTAAGCTGCTGAGGACATCAACTCTCGAGGATATGCCCGACTAATAACTAGATCTTTTTTAAGAAGATGTAGGGCGTGTATTGAGGCTGATGGTAAACCATTTGAACACTTATTGTAATAAAAAAATGTTATTTCCCTATCTGACTTTTATTCCAATAAACCTAAACTAAACTAGGTCAAGATTTTTTATTATTTTGTTAATTTTACTTACTTTTGTTGACTTTTGTAAAATTGGCGTCACTATCTGTCTTCCTCGCTCATGGCAAACATCTCCACTATCCATCTCTCAAATCAATAAAAACATTTGAACTAAGTAAAATGGGTTACCAAAAATCGGGTTACTCGAGGTTTTTATTTATTTACTTGTTTTTTTTTTAGAATAAAACCGACAAGTATTGTACCATTTTACAATCCTGATTAAATGCGCAAACTTTTAATGGCACTTGCCAAGGCACTTTAGTACATTTTTTTTAAAGGAGAACCTTTCAAAGTCGACAAATGTTGAAAATTTTAAATTAAATAGTTTAGCAAACAGTCTTAATTCTAGAAAACTTGGGCAGTTGTGTCATTATTTTTGACTGTTGTTCTAGAAATGTTATATAGGGTTACGGTTCCAAAGTTTAAATGAACAAAAATAATGAAAATTAACCACAAAAACCGAAAAATGGTTACAGTTTCACCAAAATTCTAGATTTTTCTTAAATGCCCATAATTTCCGAACTGCATGGGATAGATTTTTTTCTGATTTTTCTCATGATCGTAACAATCATTCCTGTCACCCTGTATATATATATATATATATATATATATATATATATATATATATATATATATATATATATATATATATATATATATATATATATAAAAACGAAGACAGACGAGTACTAAGGATACCTTTGATAATAGGACAGATAAAAAATCGATCACGATGAAAAAATCATCTTTTCACAAAATTTTATTCAAGCTCCATCGTGTTAGTACACCTATACTAGAATTATTTTGTCCGTGCAGTTTGGGTCACAAACGATCGAAGTATTTCGGTCTCTTGTCGATAAGCGTCATCGATAGTGTATTTAGTTTTGTCATTATGTGAGTTAGTAATAAAAATGAATGAAATAAGAATGATTTAAAATAAATTATTAATTAGGTATCTATGTACTAAAAAAACTATAAGTACAAATGTTTGGAATGTAACAAGTAATATTAAAAATAAATATAATAATATAATATATAAATAAATATAATAAATTATTTACGTTAAAATTCTACATCAGAATCATCACAGTCATCGTTATCCACATGAATTAAACAACATAATTAAACGAATATTATATTTTGTAAATTATTATTAAGTCATATTTCTTACATAAAAGATGAAAGAATATTTAGCAATTAGTCTGCCCCCCCCCCCTTCCCGTTTTTGTGTTTAAGTCGCCTTGTCCATCCTTGTCTAGCCAAATTAGTTTGTGGCTGTGATTTTGGTTCATCCAAGTCTCATCTAAATAAATTCTTGGTCGAATGTCTTCACTATCTCTCAGGGTCTTGAGTTTTCTCAAGAATTGTAGCCGCGCACAAACGATGGCAGTCCTTTCCATCAATTCTTTACGACCATTTGGAGCTTGTGTGTACTTGTACCCAAGTTCTATGAGTATTTTACGCATAGAAGAAATAGAACACTGGAATCCGTCAATTTTTTCTTTTGCTGTAAACAAAATTTTAGCCGTGGAAGGATATTCACCGTCGCGATAAAACGATGACACTATTTGTTTAATTACACTTTTGTCAAAGTCGTCTAACGCAGTTACTGTATAAGGCCTATAGAGGCTTT